CTACTCTCGGCAATCGAGTGCCAGACTTCTTGAGCGCCACTCTATAGCTCCGCATCAATACCTTGCCGTCGAGGGCCACGAATTGGATGCAGTGCTCCAAACCGGACAGTCGTATGGCCTCCACGTCGGGACCCGCGAAGAAGTCGAGCAACAGGTTCTTCAGGCGCTGGTAGTCGGGCTCCACATCGAAGGCCTGTCCGCTGAACGTCACGATAGGTTTGGTTCCGACCGACGTCTTGGGGACGCCTTTGAACTCCTGGAGGGACCGGTAGTTATCGAAGCCGAGCTCATACATGTCGAGCACGTGGTCGTCGAACGTGCGGCCGATTATCACATTATTGGGCCGTTTCTTCGTGTGGTTCGCGAACGCAAAGAGCGTTGAGTTGTTTTTGGCGGACATTCGCTCCAGAGGTTGGCTGTCGTCCATCGGATGCCACGACTCCTTCCTGTGGGACAGGGAGTAGGGGACAGACAATGAGTGTGGGCTGACATGGAAGGGGCCCACGTGTGGGTCATACCGATTGAAGTACACGCTGTTTGGCTTCTTCAGCAGACACTGCGAGCAATGGATAAATTGTGGACACAATTAGACATATGAATCAGTGATCATTGAATGGCATTACGAAGTCCTTCAAGAGTTGGACACATCTCTGGCTGGCAGTGGATCCGCGCGTAAAGATAGCAGTCTTCGTCGCCTCAATCACCTGTGGCTCCCGTTTCTCCAGAAATCGTTTGCCTTTCCGTGTCTTCGCTTTCCTGACAATCAGATCAAACAAATGTCACAACAATTGAGACAAAAGTCAATTCAAAACACTATTTGTTTACAAAAAGTTTTTTTTAAAGCAAACTCTTTGCCGAAGACTTGTCACACCGTCTGATCCCTCACCTGATTTTGTTGATCACCGACTTGTCTTTGATGACACCCATTGTCTGTGTGTCCACGAAAACCACGGATCAGTTAATCAGTGATTGAATGTATTGAATGAAAAGCTTTTAAATTTTGCAATCAAAACACCGATTCATGTGTTTTGAAAACAGCATTCAATGCATGCTTTTAAAGGTAAGCTCTCGTCATAAATAAAGTTATATTTTAAGTTCATTAATAATTGCCCCCTAATAACAATAACCCGTGTTATGAATTGGAAAATTATTTTACCCTACAATATATGTAACATAATATATGAATACTTTATACGCAAACTCAATGCATGCATAAAATACAACCAACTTTTAGTAAAATAAAATATAATTTAAATACAATTAAAATTAACACACAATTAATTAAACATAAAACTAGAGAAAAAACTAATTATATATGAAAATCCAATAATTATATTCATATAAAGGATTGTATGGAGAGGTATTAAAAACCTAATTTCATACACTATTACAAACTAAGTGTACATTATATCGAGACCTCGTGTACTGTCTATGGGTAACGCATAGCAACGCATAGTATATCCGTTTTGATCGACACTTCCTTTTCTCGTTTCGCTGTCATTATTATCGACACGTTTTTCACACAAACGATACAAAATGGTAAGTATTTGATGATAATTGCCGTCACAAGCAGTTCCAGACCCTAATCCATGTCTCGATTATCTAGTCGTTAGTGATTCCCGAGAAGTTTAACCACATCTTGCGTGTCATGAACACCAACATCGATGGCAAACGCAAAGTGATGTTTGCGTTGACCGCCATTAAGGTAACAGACATTCCTCCGCATATCATCTCGTGGTCCGCGTGTCTCATGTGTTTGTTTATGTCTGCAGGGAATCGGTCGCAGGTTTTCCAACATTGTCTGCAAGAAGGCTGACGTCGACCTCAATAAGAGGGCCGGAGAGCTGTCCGAAGAGGAGGTACTGTCGCTCACTATCTCT